CCGGGCTCTAAATGCTCAAAACCCCAGCCGGAGAGAGGGAGGCTGTACGTGCAGGTATCGCTTCAGTGGGTGGAAACGAGAGAAGCATAGAGGGAGAAAAGCCGGCGCGATGAGAAAAAAAAAAAAAAAAAAAAAAACAGAGGGCACGTGGTATGTATATCATGTATACCCGTTGGCTCGCGAAACAGAAGAAGGACGAGGAGGACGGACGATGAGCGAGCGAGAGGGAAAAATTAAAAGGAGAGACGCGCGAGACGTATATCTTGAAGGAGGCTGGAGAGAAAAAAATCCTGTGTATATGCGTGTGTAAGAATATATATATATGTATATACGAATCGGGATCGTTGAATCGGCGAGCCTTGCCTATATACATATACCTGCGATGCATCTCTGGACAATATAGCGATGGCGTTGATGATGCTCGGCGAGAGCGAGCATTTTGGTGTGTACGTTCATTTGTACGTATGTACGTGCACGGGTGTATGGTTGATGGCGGCTCAGAGAGGGAAGAGAGGATAAAAAGAAGTAGAGACGAGAGGGCAGGCCGGGAATGAGCCGAAGGTGATGTATGGCCGACGTCGGACCTTCTTCGCCGGGACAGAGACAGATACGGGGAGAAGAAAAAAAAAAAAAACAAAAAAACAATATAGATATATTTATAAGCACGTACACGCGTGTATTGGTACGGAGAATGAGAGAAAAATGTATCCACTGCGCGAGCCATACGTGTATATAGCTGGGACGGAGAAAGGCGGGAGACGGCCATAGAGGAGGTGGAGAGGATGGCTCTTCTTGGCCCCCCCGGAGCAACTCTGTCATAACTCAATCCCACCTTCTCTCTCTCCGCGTGTCCATTCCCAGATGTTATACGCAAGAGACTCTGCTTGCACCTGCGAGATTCATCTCCCTCTCTCTCTTTCGTTCCCTCCGTTCCACAAAGGGCGGCTCCGCGCTCTAATCACAACTCTCCATTTCCTATACGCGTCACATTATTTTCTCCCTCTCTGATTGTAAAGGGCCCTCTTAGACGCTGTACTTTTGGTTGTTGCTTTCTTTTTTTTTTTTTTTTTTTTTTTTTTTTTTTTTTTTTTTTTTATTTTTACATTTCTTGGATAATTCAGCTACACGTGCAAGCTCCTTTTTTTTCCCCCAGCAGGTTACACACGTCTTTTGTTCGACGCGACTGTACGCGCAAGTTTGTCACTAAGCCGTGGGTTTTCATATACGTGTACACGTGTACGCTCATCTGTTGCGATTAAATTTTTTTTTCTATAGAATTATCAAATGGCTGCGCCACGNAATTCAGCTCGGGGATTGAAAAAGTTATTGGTGACGATCCGTGTGTGCGCTCGTGTGTTTTTGCTCCTTTTCGCTCGTTCCAATTTTTTTTTTTTTTTTTTTTTTTTTTTTTTTTTTTTCAATCTGAAATGTGTACATAGCAGCAGTAGTCACACTTTTGTTACTCTTGGTCCCGCGGTCGGTCGTTCGGGCCTTAATTCACGTGTGTCGCGACGAAAGGGTCGATCGATAGATCGCAAAGATTTTTCGAGCTCGCGTGTGTCCCAAAAGTGCTTGGGAATACATAATACGCAGCGAACAGGTACAGGGAGCAGTGACTTATTTGTTTTGGGCCTCCCCGGCAGAGATATTTATGAAATAGGGGAATCCCCCGGCCGGCTTCGTGTTCCTCGTTCCGCTCGCCCCTTTCGTTCCTTCCCTGCCTCTCCCCCGCTACGGCTTCTTTTTCGACGTGTCCTTCTTTATTGGGGCCTCGCTGGCTGATTGAAAGGATTATTTCGTATAATTTACGAGGCATTGTTGTTTCCCGTGTGACTCGGCGTATAGTCATGCACGAGCTTGATTTTTTTTTTTTTTTTTTTTTTATTCGTCTATTCGAAAGAGCCGATATTTTAAAATACCCTTCGCGTGATTTTTCTTTGGTTCTCGACAAAATAAAGAAGAAGTAACATAAAAAGGGCCTCTGCGATGCTGCTGAGGGCATTAATCACCGGAACACTGAATTTATCGCACGTTCCTTGTCGAGTGGATACGTTTGTAACTGCGAATACAATACAAATGTCAAGGGGAAGGGCTGCAAGATATTTTGGCATCCTAAGAATTTTAATCCCACCCCCGCTCCCTCTCTCTCTCGTCATTATTTGCTTCGCGTCACTAAATTAGCTCGCAAAAATCGAAACTGGACCGTATACGGTGAATCGAGTCCCATTAATTACGTAAGTATATGATCAGGGTGAAGCAACGCAGAATTTTTGCACGGCTATTAAATCATAGCATCCTTTGTCAGCCAATTTTCAACAAAGATAGGCAATGGTTTTTGGATAAAAAAGGTTGTTTTTTTTTGTTTTCATGACAAAAGATGACGTTAACAATGTATCTGATGTATAAAATAGAAAAAAAAAAAAAAAAATTATTGTATCTGTGACGTGGACAAATAAAACAAAAGAATTTTTATGAAGGAAATAGCTTAAAAGAGGAGTCATTTTGGAGTAACCGATGCTGTTCAATAAATGTAATTTCAGGCTAATACGTACAAGCAACCCCTTTTAAAACATTTGCGACTAAAAACACGATACAATGAAAGTACAAAAAATAACAATGATATTGAACAATATAATACCGTAGCATGGCATTGCTCCTAATAATTTAGTCATGCCGTTCACACAACTCATGTGGCAATGTATACGTAAGCACATTGTTTATATACACATGAACGCACGTTAAATGTTAGGATATAAGAATAAGAGTAAGCCCTACGAAGAATACATACAGAGGCAATTTGAGCACAGCAGGTACACTCGTACATCCTACTATCACACGCGCATTTTAGGCTTCACGTGTCCTTCCTTTCTCCGGACGCTTGGGTCACTCCTGATTATTCCCCTCGAGCACGAAAATCATCGGATTGCCATGGCGGGTGACGCTCTTAATCGGTGAGGCAGCAGGCCGGCCCCTATATTACATTGCCCCCACACGTACGGGGCTCGCACACGGAGCGACGTATAAACGTGACCAGCGTCGAACGTTGGGATAAGTTTGCATTAAGCGCTCCCTAATCAAACCTGGCTTTCGTAGCCTCCGAGTTTGAGGACGAGGTGAATGCCGGCTGTATATACGTATACACTCCTCGAATGGTTCGTATAGGGGCAGGCCTCACGCGTGAACAATATTACACGTTTTGATGTGGCGTTCTATAGCGTGTGCCGTAAATTCGGGCAGTATACCTCTATATGTGTGCTTGGACTTTGCTGAAGCTTGCTCTCTTACGCCATTAGGGCTGTGGTTGGAGCTCGTGGCTCAACGATGGTTACGCCTTGGAAATTCAGCTATCCGTCGTTTTATTTTGTCAAATGTCACCTCCTGGATTTATAAAACATTCCCCTACATTTAAAAGTATGCATCGTGTCCCAGCGTACGAAGGACTCATACGAAGGATAATTTTCAACAAAGGATGCCACGGAAGAAGAACCAAATCAAAAATTAAGTACGTTGTACGCGAAGGTTTGTTGCATCAGAGCACATCACATTGGTGCGCAGGGAAGGAGTGGTGCTTTCGCAAAGTCGTTAACGCCTCGGGAGGAGCTACGTTCGAGGAAACAAGGGCCAAGGGAGGTGGAGGTGAAATCAACAGAGAGAGGGTTCGTATAAACCGGAGCTTGCGAGTCTTGGCGCAACGATCTTTCGACCGCGTCCCTTGTCCCCTTCGGAACCCCGTATCGCCGCTCACGTTGGTCTATGTATCTACATCTATAATATTTTTTTGTCCCCTGGTGCAGTGTCTTCGATGATGCTCGAACTAGTAGATACATCTTGCGGTGTGATCGACATACAAGATAAACACGCGGTAAAATATAACCAACGTTTCATGATTTTATGCCATAGTATTGGAAAGGTGAAAAAAGGTTTTAAAAAACGCCCAAAGTAGGGAAAGTTTTTTTTTTTTTTTTTTTTTTTTTTTTAAGGTTACATTTCTTGGATAATTCAGCTACACGTGCAAGCTCCTAACTCAATTGTGAACCGTTAACAAAATATCGAGCGATAATTGTCGTTGGGGCCAATAACACTACCCGTAGTATAGGCACCGCTATTCCCTTTGTTCGCACGCACCGAGCTCTCATAATTCCGTCTGTCTCAATTTCCTTCAGAAAACATCGTTAATTCTCCAGTTTTGTTTAATCCCTCCTTCGAGTCCACGTGCCAGTGTGCACCCATATACATATATGCACGCACATACAGCTCGCTCTCGGTTTTCAGGACGAGCTTTCACCCCTTCGTTTCTCTCCCTCCCGTTTGGCCGCGTACACCCAACACCACCCTATGAACGCTGTACCAGCGCAGGCTGTTGCTGGGGATTCGTTTACAATAAACATGTCGCTCGCTAATTTTGTACGGCATAGGAAAAAAAAAAAAAAAAAAAAAACAAACAAAACGGAGACGTCTCTTGCATGCGCGGCAGTACCTATGGTGTCATTGTGGCACGAAAGCTCGTTGCTCATCTGGGAAATTAGGTGGATTGAACGAGGAAGAAAGGGTAGAGAATGAGGTTTCGCGGCTTATATACGGCTCTCGCAATTGTAAGCTTTTTCTCAGAGTTTCGTCATACTTGCTCCTCTGCTGTTGTGGTTCAGTTTCACTTTTTCACCAATTCATCGAACGAGTATTTGTTACTCATTTCGTTGAGCACTCGATTGTCAGTTAATTTTTGATGATTCGTTAATCCATTGGTAGAATACGTGGTATAAGATTCAAAGCCAGTGCGAATATAATTTTGGTGTTTTAACAAAGTATTGACGTGTGACATTTTTTTCATTGATTACTTCATCATATCGACACTTTTTTTTTAAGCTTATCTATGAGCGGCAATGCTTTAAATGTTTCAAAAAAATTAAAAAGTAGTTTATTAAATAAGCATAAAATTTATTTAATCAAAGGCATACACAGTCGGAGAAAATTTTTACGAGAACAATCAAGCTGTATTTATGACGTATAGTGATTTTTTAAATATTTTAGCTATGTACATTCTTATTAATTCTAGTTTTTAAAGGAAGTTTATTCATCTTAAATTGTAAAAAGGTAAACTTCACGATCGTTAAGTTTCTGCAAAGATCGAACATTCGATGAATTACTGTCCTTGGATAGACGTCTCAGAGCTTTAATCTATAAAGTAAAAAATTTAAATAAATAAGGCCATTTTTTAGAATTAAAATTGTAACAGTTGAAATTGATCACGCAAAACTTACAGTGAGTGGGCTTACTTCAAAGGGGTGACGTGGTACAACCCATAAGACATTTTCGGTGCAAGGAGGTGTGGTTAGTGATCCGCTATAGCTGAATACTGCACTAATTTCGTTAAATTTATTAAAATTAATATTAAATACTCCATAATCGTCTTCAGATGCAGATATGCTGATGAGATGGTTAGCTCGATGTTTCTTTAATTATTTAACAATCACAAGTTACAAATGTATGCTTGTCGCATTATTAAAAATTTATAAAATGAACAAATGTGTAGTATGTATGAAATACTTACAGGAATTGTTTTAAGAAGTGCACCTAAAACTAAAAAACCATCCTCGTATTGCAACGCTTCCTCAAAGTCTTTGTAAGCACTATTTATGTGCACTAAATGTAGTTCCGCATCATATCTAAGAAGGAAAAATGGTGTTTTACAGAAAAACGTTACGTAAAACATTGTTTGACATTAATTATCTCACCAAAGGCTAAATTGGCGAAATTAAATTGTTTTTAGTCGATAAAAAACTAGATGGTATACGGGTAAGTTAATTTTTATCCATTAATGGTAAAATGGCAAAAACAAACCGTCGTCCGTAAAATGCATGTTCAGTACCAGGTTCATGTGATCTTGCCCAATGCAGATGTAAATCAAGAAACTTATAACGTGGTATTGTCTCGGATGCAGAAACAGCTAGGTCTTCGTTTTCCCATTTACTGGTTGAATTAACTTACAAGATCATAATGAGTTATTACGAATCTTTTTAGGAAAAATAACGTTTGACACCTAAAATAACTGTCTAATAAAAATTATATTACCTGTGTGGCCATCTTTTCCTATTATAACAGATACTGATGTCAATCGATCATAATTCTCGAATTCGAATGGTAAATAATAAGTGTGTAATATTTGAGCTTCGTTATTCAAATCGATTGGAGATTGTCTTAATCCCGTTCGACAAATGGGGAAATTATCTTCAATTAAATTAGTAACTTTATACAGCTTCATGTATCCTATAGTGATTTAAAAAAAATATTAGACATTACGAAAAATTATAAGAGGATATAAATGACAAAAATTATTTTCTCATATAAATGTTGTTTACACTTACCGTGGCATGGCGAGACCAATGCTACGATGGCTATTGAAAATACTACGTGGCTATACATTAAAAAAAATAATGCGAAGTTTTAAAACGAACAATTGCCGAAACAACGCTTGATGGCACTACTAACTAAGAAAAACAGCCATTTTACTTCCTTTTATACCTATTTTTTGCAATTTAATGCTATTGATATTGCAGTTATCTAACCGACTCTTATTAAGTAGTAAGATAATACGACAGCACTTTTTAAGTTTACTGCTTTTAAAAGCATGGATTTCAAAAGAGCAATATTGTTCTTTGTTTTCGTATAATTTTAATTCAGTTGATACCTTAGAAAACGTGGCCTTATACATCTTATCTTATTTTATTTTATTAAATAAGATGTGTTTGCTTCCAGACTTAGGTCAACTGATAACTGATAAGTGGCATTATTAACACACATAATATGAAGATTATGGTAAATATTAGAGTTATTTTTACTTTTATTTCATGATAAGGTAGTTGATCAAGTAGTGACTTGACCCCAAAAAAATTGCGATGTCAATATTGAAATTTATGAAAAATAGTAAATTTTTATTCAATATCTCACTTATATGAGTTTTAAGTAATACAGGTATTAAAATTATGGCAGGGAGCAGGATGAGCTAGTGAAAAAAAATTAAAATTTGATTGCAAAAATATACGGTAACACAAACTATAATATAATGATAATAATAATAATAATAATAATAATAATAATAATAATAATAATAATAATNTGATTTCGCAATTTTTGGCCCCCAATTTGAAAGTCAGTGTCGAAATAGATACAAGAATTATATGTGAGGTCCCCACCGTGTTCTTGGAATCGCGTGCAGAGAGAGAGAGAGAGAGAGAGAGAGAAAGAATAGCAGTGCGCTCATATACAACTACTTTCAAGGCTTTTAAAAAGATGATAAAATACCAAATGACCTTGAAGTAATTATTAATCAGCTACGATAATTTTGTGTACATGTCTAGACATATTAGGTATACATGAAGTATTAAGATTATACAAAATTTAATTTCTTGATAAAATACTTACGGAAATTTACTGATAGTGTTCCAGAGTAAACATTACACATTTTTCGTGGAAAGCATTAGCTTTGTGTGAAAATCGATACAAAATGTTTTTATTAAAGAAATCAATACAGCACGAGTAAGTAGTAGAATATCATATAATTTATATTTTACAAAAATTAAAAAAATACAGGAATCTGTGGATAAAAAAAAATTTATTTGAAAAAAGAACTACCTAAATTTCATTGTTGTTCACGAATTTGATTTTTATAAATTTCTAAATAAATAATTTATACCAAATAAAAGTGATTGGTGGAAATGAAAGCGAAAAAAATTTTGTAACAGTGAAGCTTTTTCAGTAAAATTAAATTTCTTTTTTTTTCAAATTATATGAAAAATTATTCATCTGATCACCGATATGCATCAATCTCCTACTATAAGTGCACGTATTGTATTCAACTTTTAAGCGCAGTACAAATCTTAAATTGCATTCTTTCTGTTTGAAAAATACCTCTGATTTTTGGTAATCGTTAAAATTGCTCTGTCCAATGAACTGGATAAAAATCCATATTAAAGTACGCATGGCCAGAATTTAATTTACTTTTCGGGCAAAACTTTATTACAACAATAGTTTGTAATAGTTTGTCCACGTGGGGGGGGGGGGCATTAAAAATGTTCATCTAGTTCCTTTGCAGTGAGCAGCTACCCACCTTACAAGCGACAAAGTAGGGCTCTTATTTTGCGGTCACTTCTGCGTGTCCGTGTCCACAATAAAAGCTCAAGAACGCCGCGAAAGGCGCGAAAATTCAAACCTTAAATTACGTTTAAAAGGCCAGAGTGGGAAAGGGGTGGGGCGCAATAGAAAAGCGACGAAGCTCAAGGCTGTCAGGGCTCGTTAAATAACAGCGCAGTAGTCACGGAAAAGAAGCAGCGGCGGGGCTTTTGTTCGCGTGCGCGAAAAAGACCGAAACCTAGGGGCGCTGGGAATGTATATGCATATGTATACTTTCACGTGCCAAAGGGTAGGGATAACATCCAAAAGTCGGCGGGAGACGTCGACAGCGGCCGCTGCTGTTGCGGTTTGGCGACGTTTTAGGGCCGTACCGGGGTTGACTTCGTTTATCTTTTTCCCCGGCACAGACCCACGAAACTCACCGATGTCCACGTAAGGCGAGAGGCGGCAAAGAGACGCGCCTGCGATAGGCCTCGACGACAGGAATTTTTATTGTACGCAGTAAATTTCCCGGCGGATTGTTTTCGAGCAATGATTAAAGTCGGATGAGATTATTTTTTTCCCTCTCTTTTTCTCGTTACTTTATTCCACAGGGCGGGTCCTGTTTCGAAATATTTCCATCCAAAAAAGCAAGACCATTAGAATTTCCCCCGTAAATTACAGATCAAATTATACTCGTTGGTCATATAAATTTTCAACTTCATGGAAACTTCCTTAACCGGGGTAAAAGAAACGGTATATTAAAACACACGATAATGAGAATGCAAAAAAAAAAAAAAAAAAAAAAAATTATTGTATCTGTGACGTGGACAAATAAAACAAAAGAATTTTTATGAAGGAAATAGCTTAAAAGAGGAGTCATTTTGGAGTAACCGATGCTGTTCAATAAATGTAATTTCAGGCTAATACGTACAAGCAACCCCTTTTAAAACATTTGCGACTAAAAACACGATACAATGAAAGTACAAAAAATAACAATGATATTGAACAATATNATAATGAGAATGCAAAAAAAAAAAAAAAAAAAAAAAAAATTGATTTAGATTAAACCGAAAGAATTTCCCTCGATTGTTGTACCGAGGTATAATTGAATTTTTCAATTAATGGCTTTTTCAATTTAAATTTAAGATTTTAATTGCAGGAGCAGCTTTAAATGGGAAATAAGTAATTATAACGAACAGAGAGAATTAGAGTACGAGGAAGCTCGAGCGCGAGCGAGAAAAAGGACGTAAAAGGACGAAAATTCGAGAAAGCAGCGTGTATGTGCAGTCGAAAACAGCGGACCGTAAAAAACAAAGGCAAAGACGGGGCACGGGGCGGCGAGAGAAAAAGCCGGCGCGAGAAGCACATGGGGTCAAAGAGAAAGGGTCGAAAAAGCCAGAGGGAGAAAGGGGGCGGGAAAAGAAGAAACATCGAGCTGTGGGCAGTCGAGCCCATATCCGTACCGCATATATGTATATGTATGTATGTATGTGAGCGTGTCGCCAACCACAAGCCCGTTTTATTTTATGAATGGCGATAATTCACGCGACAGAGGCTATGTATATATATATATGTATGTGGCTGGTGGTGTACGCGTGTGCTCCCTGGCTCGCCGCTAAACTGCCCGCGAGTTTTCGCGGCAATTCCGCGCGGTCCTCCAGTCGAGTTGAGCTCAAGGAGGTGAAGGGAAATTAGAGAAAGGGGACTTTTTCCTGTGCCCAGCTCCTGTTTTTATGCTTTCCAATTTCACGTGCGGCGTGTAATGAACGTTTATCTTGTCGCGACAGAGCGAGCGGTCGGTGCTTAAAGACTGTTGTTATTGCCGTGAGCCTTTTGTTGCTCTCGTATTATGAAAATGAGAAACTTGGGAGGAACGATTGGTTATACAGTAGTTGTTATTTTTCTTGTGAAAAATCGGCTGAATTTTTTGCAAACTTTTACGACCTTTCAATTTTTCTACGGTACTAGTTATGTTAGTCGCGTTTCGTGCGATCTACGTGATTGACACTAGTTTTATAATCGAGTAAAAAATTTTGCTTACATTTTTTTTCTTCACTTATTCATTCCTGCGAACGATAGTACCACATTTTACTAAAACATTTTTTATATTGCCATCGACCGTGTAATTTTTCTTAATGAAAATGTATACGGTGTATATTAGGAATTACAGTTAGCACATGAAATTACAGCTACGTATAAGACGGATAATTTAATTCCACATTAGCTTGAAAAGAATTAAGTTTATTTGTTTGTTTCTTTTAAAATTATCATTAAATAACACTAAATAGAGTTGTACTAATTGTATAGACGCGTATAGTTATCCAGTGCTTAGGTATAAACATTTCATGCAGGCATAAATAGTTGTAGCACTTGTTGTAAGCGATTATAAAGTGAAAGTAGAAAAGCGAGTCTTAAGTTGAGATGAAAAATATATGCTTTGCAAAAAAATAATATAGCCACAATGTGTACTTATACGTAATCGGTAGCGCGCAAAAAAGTATTTTCATCATTCATGAAAAAAAAAAAAAAAAAAAAAATAAATGACACACTGCGATGAACTTTCTGCAATTATAATAAGTGATAACAGTTTGGGTGCGTGTAGAATGTTTGCCAAATACGCTTCGACTTACATTGTGTGTAGTTTTAATTTCGCTATCGAGTCACACACAAATTAACATACTACTATAAGTGGAGATAACGCATTATGTGTCGGTAACACATTATCCACCGCCTTCGCACACAAACTCCAACAAATCTCGAGATATAAGTTTATTCCAGAACTGCAGCTAGTACATTCGAAAACAGCAAGCGACTAATACTTGAGTTTATAATATTCTTGTCGTGGGGTGAAAACACATAATCAGCTATGTTTGAGTTTCTAGATGCAAAAATGTTGCTTTTAAGTGCATTTTTAGGAGCAATTTACTGGTATTTGAAGTTTCGCATTTTCTACTTTTGGAAAAAACATAATATCCCTCACGAGAGTCCATCCATACCTTTGGGCAACATTCCAGTTTCATACTTCTTTGCATCGATACCCTTAGGTAAGTAAATAATATGTTCAAATATTTTTAATGTATTACATAATTAACAGTTATTCTCTTAAATATTTATACTCATTGAGAAAGCTAATCTTTAATTTTGATCTTATAGGAACTCTCCTTGCAAAATCTTATGAAAAATTTTGCCACTATCCATTCCATGGCATATATGTGTTTCATAGACCAGTTGTGGTGATAAACGATCCAGAACTTATTCGAACAGTATTGGTCAAAGAATTCCATAAATTTACTGATCGAGGCTTTCTTATGGACGAACAAGTTGATCGCATGGCTGGAAACTTATTTTTACA